ACAAAACATTATTCAAGTATTAAAAGAGATGTATTCTAGAGAAATTTCATTTAAAAGAAAAAATGAAGTGTCTTCTTTTAATATATTTCACATTAACATGTTTTATTTCAATTAGCGATTGTAATCCAAGTTTATCATATTATGATGAGTCATGGATATTATTTAAACGTACTTATAATAAAGAATATAATTCAATTGATGATGAATTAAATCGGTAAGAATATTAATATAAAAGACTCATTAATTAAAAATAAAATCAATTTCGATAGACGAATTATTTGGGAAAAAAATGTTAAAATGATTGAAAAACATAATTTTGAAGCTGATAGTGGTATTCATACATATACAATGAAAGTTAATCAATTTGCTGATCTTGTTAGTTTATAAAAGATTTTTCTTCTTTTTTTTTTGTTTATTGATAATTAATATTTTTTTAGACACTTGACGAATTTGTTAAGCAAATGAATACATTGAAAATAAATGATAGAAAACAAGAAAATAAAAAATTTGAAATTCCATCAAACATAAATCTCCCCTCATCTATTGGTAAAAATGAAATTATTTTTTTATTTAAAAAAAGAATTCTATATAAAATAAATTAGATTGGCGCACAAAAGGTTGGGTGACACCTGTTAAAAATCAAGGACAATGTGGTTCTTGTTGGGCTTTTTCAGTAACTGGTTCACTTGAAGGACAATATGCGAAAAAATCTGCAACACTTATTTCTTTATCTGAACAGCAACTTGTTGATTGTTCAGCAAAATATGGAAATGCTGGTTGTAATGGTGGATTTATGGATCAAACATATCAATATATTATAGATAATCATGGAATTGATTCAGAAGATAGTTATCCATATGAAGCTTTTGATCGTCCATGTCGATTCAATAGTACAAATGTTGTTACAAATATTAGTGTAAGTTTTAATTTTTAAATATTTTTTTAAAGAAAGAAAAATCTTTGTTTTTTCAAAATTTAAAGAGTTTTGTTGATGTTAAATCTCAATCAGAAATGGATCTTCAATATGCAATTGCAACTGTTGGTCCAGTAGCAGTAGCTATTGATGCACAACATGATTCATTTCGATTTTATTCATCTGGTGTTTATTCTGAACCAGATTGTTCATCAACAAATCTTGATTTTTCACTTTTAGTTGTTGGCTATGATACAACTAAAGATAATATTGATTATTATATTCTTAAAAGTCAATGGACAACACAATGGGGTAATCAAGGATATGTTTGGATGAGTAGAAATAAAAATAATCAATGTGGAATTGCAACTATGGCTAGTTATCCACTTATTTAATTAAACTAAATTAAAATAATGAAATATCTATTTTTAAAAATCATTTTTCAATAAAATAATAAGAAAATTATATATTTATAACTTACAAAATAGAACACTTTCGAGAAAATTTTATTTTAAAGGTTGTTTGTATGTACACAAATATCTATCATAAATATATCGCCAGTTAAAACTAACATAACTACGCCGAGCTTCTCAAGATCTCTTCTGTAGATTTATTACTTTTCTATATAATCAAGTTGAAAATAAAATGGAATCGTTACAATTTGGAGTGTGGGTGTAGATTATTCATCTATACCTACACCTTCAGGTACACTCTCACTGTTTGCTTCTGTTAAGTTCATCGAAGTGTTTCAGTTCGACATGTTGAACAAGACAAGGCTGGACTTATAGAGTATATCTTTTCTTTCTCTTCATCCACCGATCCACACCCGCATCCTCAGATATGTTTAAAATTTCAATAATGTATTGTTTTTTTTAATAAAAACTGAGACAATTTGGAAAGCATTGAGAGGATGTGAGTCCATCAAAGATCAATGTCTACGCATATACCCATCGTTTATTTCAAGATACATGTTGTTATTAAAGATATGTAGAATTACAATATAGAATCCAGATTAATCCTTAAAAATCTTTAGTAGAGATGAAACTTGACTTTCTTTAAATATAGTTTACATCATTTATATATCTTTTAATTATAAAATCATATCAATGAAAAAGCATGATTAAGAATAAATTATATTTTGTTAATGATATCTTTTGTGTTTATTAGAACTTAAATAGGAAATAACAATTTGAAATAGTTTAAATAGATTAAGTTTAAATAATTAATGAAATCTTTTAACTGTTTGAGAATTCATTTCAATGAGAATATAGATAAACCAGAATACCAAAACGAATATACCCAGCATTGTAGTAACTAAATTGATATTACGAGCTACCTTTGAAGTGTTTAATGCATCTTGCAAAAGACCTTCTCTTTTTAAATCTTTTGTCTTGTTTGAATAATGCAAAGCAAGGCAACCAAAACATGTATTGCAACAGCAAATATTTATAATAGACCAAACTATGTAACTGTTAATTTTATCTGTTGATTGAATTACATTTCCATTGAGGTTGATAGTGGGTGGCAGATAATTAATATTATACGTCGGTTGAGGTTGATGAACTTGAGTATTAGTATTTGAATAATTGATTGGTTCTGCAGATTGAAATGCATAATCAAGTGGTTCAGAATGAATAACCTTCGCTGAATGACCATCTTTCGATAAATCATCAATAATAAAATCAGATGTAGCCATAATGCTCGAAGTATCGTGTATGGTATATCATAAAGTAATAGATGTTATTTATCTTATCCTTCTATTTATATACTTCTCATGTCCACCAGACATGACAGAGGTGCAGAATCTTCCCAAAAACCAAAAGTTTCCCTCCCTGGGAATATTTTTGCAAAACATTTTCCGAAAAATGCAGTTTTAAAAAACTTTTCCTCTCCACACGGGGGCGAACGAGGAAGATTGTGCACCTCTGGGACATCATATACTCTCTTTCTCTTTCATGCATCTGCTTGCATTCATACTCTTCTCACTTTTCCTTTTTCTCACACACATACATCCCACTCTATCTTCCATATATTTTGAATGTTTTATACATTTCATCTCGTGCTCTTTTTCGTTCTATATCATATATACATTCTTTCTTCGTTTCATCTTTTATGATATAGCTTACGCGTGATGATATGTGCTTATGGTATACTTCACTCCTTTTTGTTTTTGTATTCATATGCGTTCGTCTTCTTGTTGTCTTTTTCATTTATATTCATTCGATTCTTTTTGTTCTTGGAATATACACGATGAGATATTCATCACAATACTAATCAATAGACAAAGAGAAATATGGTTTATATACTATGGGAGAAAATATAGTTTTGGTCTTTTAGTTATGCTCATGATCTTTCGAGATTTGATTTTTGTTGTTTTATCTCGTCTATATAAAGTCGTACAAAAACTACAATGATTAAAAGAAAGAAAGTCAACAAGAGAATACTCGCCTCGAGTTAATACTTGTTTGTAAGAGAGGAAATAAATACTATTAGAGAGAGAGAGAGTAGAAGAAAGAGTACATAAACATACTCACAATAGAGTGATATCAATATCGGCATATATAATTACATCCATAGGTAATTCTAAAAAATTGATTGTTGATATATTTATCTTGAGGGGGAGAGTGTAGGTGTGGATGTGATTGTGGGTGTATATCTTCTCTTTCTCCTCATTCACCGATCCACACCCACACCCTATTTTTTTTATCATAAACTTCTATTAAAGATTTAAATCAAGACAATTAGATGAATATTTGTTATAGTATCTTATGGTATTGATCACATTGAAATTATTTATTGAATAATTCAATACTTTCAAAAATTCTTTCTATCTTCAAGTATATTAAACTAAGATATATTTGTAAAATCTTTTTAAAGATTGTCAAATTTTATTTCTGAATGAAACCTAATATATTCTCTAGCAGTTATCATTTATTATTTAATTTATCAATAATAATTTGTTCTATAGATATATTCGAATCATTCCAATGAGCATTTATACCAAGATTATTTAATCTTTCCATTAATTCTTCATTAATACCACGATATAAGAAATTTTCTGTTAAAAGTGCTTCGGGTCTATGAAAACTTGTAACACGTTCTCTAGATTGCATAACTTTTGTATAAACTCGTTTAATCATTCTATCTTCATAATGTTTAATTGCTAAATGTAAATCAAGATTATTTTGTGTAATAATATCAGTTAGATCAACAGCATCAATAAGAACTTGATTTGCACCTTGTCCTTTAAACGGAGACATTGGATGAGCAGCATCACCAATAAGTGCAATTTGAATACCATCTTTATTTAGATCTGTAATTGGTATTAAATCTCTGTCAAATGCTGGTATTCCCATAAGTAAATCTAATTGTGTTTTTTCAATCATTTCAGGTATTGGTGGATGCCAATCACCACATTTTTCTAATAACATTTGTTTTAACATTTGTGAATCTTTTGATAATTGCGTTGCTAAAACTAAATCTGCAGGAAATGAAAGTTGCCACATTATTGATTGTTCTGGTTTTGATTTTGAAAATGGCATTGCAAATAATCTAAAACATCCATCCATTGTTTGAAATACACGATCTTTTGCAAGAAAATGTTCAAAACCTCCAGTAATTCCTAATACTACTAATATACCTAAATAATTGAGTGGTGTATCTATAAGCGGATCATATTTGAATGAACGAACTTGACTACTAATTCCATCGGCTCCAACAATTAAATCAACATTAGTTTCTATATGTCCATTAGTAAATAAAACTTGATGTAAACTATGATCAATATGATTAAGACGATAATTCCATTGAATACCTTGATGACCTAACGGATGTAATTCAATATATTTATTCATGAGAATTCTTCGTAATTCTTGTCTTTCAATATGTAAATTATGTTTATTTCTAGTTTTTGGTTGATTATTTTGTTCTGGATAAAATATAGTTCCAAAAAAACCTATCATATGTCCATATTTATCAAATATATAATGTGATCTTGATGGAGTATCTAATGAATGTACTTGTTGAAATACTTGTAAACGTTTTAATGCACTAATTCCTTGAAGAATAGTTAATCCATAACCTTGACGTCTACTATCCATTCCTGTATCTCGTTCGTATACGATAACATCTTTATATCCATGTTGTAAGAATCCAATACCAGTTGCAAATCCTCCTAAACCACCACCAATAATGACAATTTTCATTTCAACAATAGATTGATCTAAAAATAAATAAAATCTCTATTATTTTATCTTAGATGAGAAATGAAAATGAATACTTTGAAAAAAATACGAATCAGTTGGTTTATCATGCGATATAGTCAACAAGCTAAATTTAGATATGTGTCTCTTTGAAATACTTGATACTTATAATTGAATAAAAAGAAGAATGAATTATCGAAAGATTGTACAAGCTGTTAGATATACATTAATTATTCAAAAATGGATCTGCTCGTCAGTCGATATTTCGCAACTCATTCCTTTTTTATCTTAATGAAATTTTTGAATTAAATAATTTAATATTCAAAAAAGTTCGTTTTCGTCTTTTAGAATCTGCTATATCATTATTCCGATTTTATTTCGTCAATTCTATATTATTACTACGAACTAAAAATCATATGAGTCACTATGTTTTAATCTAATAACAATTATTTATAATACTTATGATATAATATATGTGTTAAAATACACCGTTCGTCTATACATTGACGTGCTTTATAACATCTTTCGATTCTGTTGTACTACAGTCATCTGTTGATATACACACGACATTAGCTTTATTTTCTATCAAATCTTTAGGTATCTATTATATTATATTACGATATCTATGGAAGAATTTTAATATTTATTCTAGATCTTATTTGACAAAATATTATTACTAGAAACAATAACTTACTTATTATCGTTGACAAAACAATGTTCGTAAAAAGATTTTTTGTAGTAAATAATATTAAATATTTCTATGAGATATTTTATAAGAATGGAAAGTTGAATGATTTCGCAGAGATAAACAAAAATACACGTGTAGCATCACATATATATATACTGAAGAAAAAAATGCTTTCGATTGATGAAGTTAGAAGAAAGAAATCAGTATAGAGTCACATGTTGTATATATGAAGAAATACAAAAAGAAAAAGTAACAGAACGAAAGAACGCAATATAACGACACACATGTAAAGCAAGAAAGAAAGAAAGAAAAATACTGATGACGTTGCATGCTTTTTTTGTTTCTGTGATGCTATGAAGCAGTTTTCTCTTTTTTTTCTGTTAATACTAATCGTAAAATACATGCGCTCAGATATAACTCAGGTATTATTTAAACTGAATAGATAAGATCATAATTGAATATAATATCCATGAACATATTTCCGTTTTAACTATTATTACTTAATCTAGAGTTTATAAGAGAAGAAAAAAAACAAATTTCATAGGTAACCGTATGTATATTTCCAGATTGAATCTAACTAATCTTTTGTCATATTGTTTTCTAGCTACATTTACTTCAACAAAAGGAACGCTTTGAAAACTAATCAATCTAAATGAAATTCGATGACGAATAGTTTGTATACTTCGTTCTAGCTATCACATTCATTATTTTGAACTTAACAGGGTGTAGGTGTGGAATGTTGACAATACTCACAACTACCTATATCCTTAAGATGATTTGGTGTTCACGATTGGTAGAAAAGAATTCATTGGATAACTTACTTCAATATGTATCTTTCATACTTTTATTAATCTTATTGAACTTAATCGATATTGTATTATTGTCCGCAGAAGTCCTGATAAGGAAATATATGCATAGAAAACGACGAACGATTAGTTTTTAATATTAATGCAAAAGACACTTATAACCATCAAAAAATGTTTTTCTCTAATTTCCTCTTGGGTATAAATGCTCATTGATTATTATAACACACAGTGTAATTAGACTGATTGATAAGATCATAGAGACATAACTAAAAACTAATTTTGCATTTATGATCGTTGACAATCTTCTCTTGAGTTTTTTTTTAAAAAGAAGCTTTATTCAAAAAAAATGTCAAGTTGTTCACTATACTTTTATGTTTCGAGGAACTAAAAAGTGCAATGTAGCGTTACATAATATGAAGAGATAGAAAACTTTCTTCGCTCTGTCAAATGTCTATTATCATTGTTCAAAATAATTTTTCAAGACAGTAAATTTATAAAATCTTATAAATTATGCCATTGAATATTTTCTTTGAGTACTAGAAAAAGGTTTTTTATTTTTCTTCTAAGAAGAGCATCAGTTATTTTCTTTTCTTACTTGTTCGTATTTTACTGTTTCTATTCTATCAAGACAGAAGTGGAAGCTGTAATCGTATAAATCGAGTATTTTGTTTCATTTGAATTCACTTTCAATCATTCATATTATTATTAAACTTGGCATTTATTATTCAGAAGAAATTCTATCTCATGATTTCATTTTTACTATCCATCGATGAAAAGTAATTCATTATTTCATATCTATTTAGTCGTAAAACTTTGAATTAAGCATACAATGGATTACACTGCTGTTATCAACTGGATATACATATTTGTCACTACTGTGAATTTTTGCGTATCGCTTTTTTTTCTTATCGTGCCTATCATCCATTATCGTCAATGTTTTAATTTCCCTACTCTTCTGGCATGCAATACGATTCTAGCCACTAATATTTTTTCTGTTAGCAACGTAGCAACAGCTATTTACATGCTTATTTGGGATCGTCAAGAAGTTCCAATAGTTGATTCCCTTTGTCCAATACGTGGTTATTTTCACCATTCGTCGATCGCTTGGATACATCATTCATTAGTTTTATTAGCTTTAGAAAAATATTTCAAAGTTCGAGGTATCACATTTTTTAGGAAACCATCTCGACAAATATGTGTTGTTCTATTTCAATGGATCTTTGATTTTATTTTTGATTTACCGGTTCTTCTTACCGGCAATATGGGAAAACTCAGTTTCGACAATGTATGTTTCGTCTCATTCACGAAGTTGTATCTCGCATTCTATTTAGCTGCAATAGCATTTGTGTTAACGGATATTATTTTAACTATTATTTATAAATCTTTAATACATTATGTACGTGAGAAGTCACTGAAAATGCCTAGTAATCGTCAGACACAAATGCATCGTGATCTGAGTATGATGCGTCGCATTCTCTTGTTGAATTTTCACTTGGCTCTTCTCAGTTTACCGGTTCTCATCTTTCTCATTATGCATGCGATTCGAGTCGATCTTTTACCTATCAATACTATGAGAATCGTGCTTCTGATTCATAATTTACCAATGTCAGTGACGGTTGCCATTCTCTTTTGGTTTACACCAGATTTAAAACAAAGTCTAATCAGCACCAGAAATCGATTATCACAATGTCTTTTAATCAGAAAGAATCGTGTGCAACCGCTGAGAGCTAATCTTCGCTTTTAATGAAACTATTTGATATGCCATCCATCTAGAAGGTCAAGTCGCATCCACATCCTGTTTTTTATTTGAGTTTATTGTTTTTGTATTAGTGTATCATCTTCGAGGTCTACGTAGTATCTCTTCTCCTTCTATTATAATTTTATGATTTATCTGCTTTTATGGTTTTTCTTTTTTGTTGATCTTTTTCGTTTATTGTGATGTCTAACTTCTGTATTGTCAGAATCTAATGCTCGTCAGTTATTCACAAATGATATATATAATTAATGAATAAAAATACTTCATTAGATGTTTATTTCATGTACTTTGAAAGATCTATTTGTAATTGAATGTATCCTTGTAGTCCATCTCAATTACATGTAGAATGATGATCATATCAGATATTTTCAGGTGCTTTATTTTAAAATAATATTTTATTCAAATCTTTCTATTGTGTGGAATAAGAATAAAATCAGTTGTACAATATATTTCCGACAGCATATAATGTCGATATACTTTCTCTTTCAAATGAATATAAAATAACTAAATATTTTATTCTTCACGAAGCTTCCTATCTCCTTCATAAATCCATAATTTTCGATGTATTCCTAACAACAAGAACATTAAATTTTGTGTGAAACACTTTGTTGTCACATCCTTCCTACAAAATTTCAATATCATGAACATTTTTTATGTTTACAGCAAATATAATACCAGACATTTTATATTGATTTTGAAAAAGGAAACGGATTCATTGTTTTTCTCTATTGATAAATTCAAATGTTGTATTTGTTGAAAATATTTCAAAAAAAAAGGAAAGTTCCCATTGACATCAATATCTAGGCGGATACAGAAAAAAAATAAACTTCACGTTTTTTTAATGTTCAGTTTTCAGTAATATATAGAAGAGTTTTTTTTATCATTCAAGTTAATTATTGAAGAATAAAACTAAAAAGAAATAACTTTTTTTCATTTCATTCAATAGAAGACAAATATCAACAACAATTAATGATTTACGAATAATAAAAAAAGAGAAGATGACTTTCTCAATAATATTAATCATTAGTAATCAAATAAAGTTCTTCTCATTTTATTTGTTTCATAGTCTTGTAATTATATCTAATAGAATCATCAACTATGTTTGACATTCTTTAAATTATTAAGTATCAAGAAATGGATTCTCAAATGATATTCTTCAGTTTATTGTTATGTATTTGTTTGATTTAAAATTAAAATAATAATGAGTGAATGATTCCGATATTTACTGTATACAATCGTTTTTATATGAAATATTTGTAAAAAAAAATATTATGTCAATGAAAGCGATACGATCATTTTTGAATAAAATGTTAAAATCTACGCAGTTGTATGTAAAACTAAACTAATTAGTTGATATGATCATTTCTATAGAAAGAAAAACATTAAAAATCAGCATTTTTTGAAGGAAATGCAAAGTTTCCTGAAAGAAAAAAATGTATTTGAACAAAGTATTTTATTATTTTTCATTCATTCATTCATTCATTTGAAAGTCTATAGAATTAAACTGTAATTATATTATTAGTTGAAAAATTATTGTTGAAAAGATATTTTGTCGATAAAATAATTCAGTATTGATATAACTGCTGTTTCCTTCATGTTCATTTTGTCTACATTAATATTCATAAATTAGGAAACAAACCTGAAATTTTATTTCTCCAGTGAGAAAAATGATTAAAAAAACATATATAACTTTTCATAGTGTGTCGAGAGTGTTGAGAGACAAATATAATATCCACAATCACAGACAGTCACATCTAAATGTAATTATTCAAAGAATCTACGTATTTCACATGACTATGATTGATATTAGGATCATTTCTGTAGTTCTCTCTATTGATTAGTCATATCCAGTAAACTATAACTAAGTGAAGATCAAGTACTAATTATTTTTATTTTCTTAAATGCTCTATTTCGACCTTCAATTAAATCAATGAATATCATAATCATTTATCTATTCTATGAAATAATTATTACATACGATAAAATTCATTTCTCACCATAAATATTGTCTAATTCTCAATTCATCTAAAAATATCTTTGTGTATAGTAAAATATTTTGACGTCAGTTTTTTCTCTGTTAGGATATGATGCATATCCTTTGAACAGCGCTGATTTTCAATGTTTTATTAACTAATAATTACACTAAATGTTGTCTGAAACAGTTTCATATCAACAAAAGTTTTTTTTGCAAGTTAATATTGAAAAAGGAAGTGTGCTCATTGTCTTATTGATATATAATGTTTTACATTAACACAATGATATACGTCATAAAAGAACTGATTATTTAAGAGAGAGGAAGAGAGAGCATGATAAATAGTTTTTTTATTATTTTAACAATTTTTTGGATGAAATTGGAATGAAAATCTTGTAAGATTAGTCGGTAAGGAATATTAGATATTATTTGAAATATAGATTTCAACAATTAACGAGAAACACAAATGATTCTTTGTGAAAAAAGAAGATTCAAATAAACAGTTGAGATTTTTTGTAAAAATATTATTAATGACCATGGAAATGTATAAGTGAAAAAAGTTTTTTGTTAATTTTAGATTGTAGAAGTATTAAACTATCAACAATGAACAATAACAACAGAATCGGAGTTGATAATGATGTAATTTATTGAGAATAAGAAACATTATAGAATATTATATTTGTTTTGTTTTGTTTATTATTTTAGTCTGAAGCAGTTACGTCGAATACTCCGCAACCAAAAACATTGTATGTATCTTATGAATTATAGACAGTGATAAAAAAGATTTATTATTCTAGATGTGAATATATGAAAAGAAGAAAAGGAATGTGGATCACATTTACTACTATTGTACTTGTTATAATTATAACAATTCCAATTGTTATCTCCAAAACAAAAATGATAAACAGTGAAACAACACCAACAATAGAAGAAACAACAATTGAAATAACAACAGAAATGGAAGTACCACAAACTACAGGTAGTGAAAATGAGATAATCATTTATTTTGAAGTTAATATAGGATAAATTATTTCAAATGACAGAAGTAGGACTTCATTATTCATCATAAGAACTTATACATGATATTTCTAAGCAACAATATCAAAAGTTTTTCTGTGATCCATAATGGAATTTTTAGCATGTAGAAGAATATTTATTAAGAATACGTCCCTGATTTGTATGTTATAGATAGTAGTAATGTTAGTATTAGCTGAAATTTTCAGTTTGATTGAATCACTCCTTGCTACATAAATGAATAAAATACGAGTAGAATTTTCGATTTTTGACGCAATATGCTTGAATAAAGGTTAGTTTTACATATGATTCCCTTCAGAAGCTTTGGCCAATCTATAAGAACCACTAAAATACCATTAACAAAATAGATCTTACTCGTTTTATCGTGTTTTATGCGGAAACAAGAAATCATTCTAATATTTCTGTTGGTAACAGAGGACATCAAAGCCTATATTATCCAGGATATTCATGACATGATAAATTCCGATTTGTACAAAATTCAAATAAAGTGACTATAGAAGAAGCTTCCTGTAAATTTAATTGAATACTTTTAAGGATAATCATAGAAAACTCTTCTAATTCAAGAAAAGATAGAAATGAAATTGAAGTCTAAGCTCGGATTAAGGTGGGTTGGGCTGCATCAAATCAAATAAAAAATATATATCTATATGTATGTATGTATATCAAATATCTTGAGGATGTGAGTGGTTGAGAGTGTGTGTGAAGAGAAGACAGCCACTCGGACTCACACTCACATCCTTAAAGAAAAAGAAATAAATTAACAGACAAACATTATATTCAATTGTTTGGTCTCAATATAAAATCATTTTTTTCTAAAATAGAACCAACCACGATATCAACATCAACATCAACATCAACAACAACAACAACGTCATCAACAAAAACTACATCAACAACAACAACAACAGAAATATCGAGTGAGTACTATGATCGATTCGAGAATTATACTTTCTTACTTATGGTCATCATCCTCATTCACATTCTGTCTTACCTATATCCTAACACATTCGTACACCACTCATCCAACATGGTGAAAATACACCTTTTGTAGGACAGTGTTTGAGTCTCGTCAGTTCGCGACATCGATAGAACTCGAAAAATATCAATGAAGTCGTTTTTAACATATTTTTGATTAATTTGATTTAACATGTTTCAATGAGTCTTATATTAATCATAAAAGAAAAGAGAAGTTTATTGAAGCTTTGAAATTATTTAATCCGTCATTAGTTGGTAGACAGTTTATGCACATGAGAAATTCGAAGTTATTTTAAGAAAAACATTTTTTTCTCACTGTTCTATCTTATTTAGAATGGACAATGATAGGAAACATGAATATCGCTCGATATTATCACACAGCAACTATATTAGCAAATGGATTAATATTAGTTGCTGGGGGAGTCAACGGCGCTAAGGGTCTTAATAGTGCTGAATTGTATAATCTATCAACAGGCGCTTGGACAATTACAGCAAACATGAGTACCGCGCGATATTATCACACAGCAACTATATTAGCAAATGGATTAGTATTAGTTGCCGGTGGGTCCAATGGTACTCCTCTCAATAGTGCTGAATTGTACAAGCCATCAACAAACACTTGGGCAATCACGGGACGGATGAGTATTGCACGAAGATCTCATACAGCAACCACATTAACAAATGGATCAGTATTAGTTGTTGATGGATATAATAGTACTAAAACTTATCTTAATAGTGCTGAATTGTACAATCCATCAACAGGCACGTGGACAAACATAGGAAGCAGGCATGTCGTACGAGAATATCACACAGTATCCACATTAGCAGATGGATCAGTATTAGTTGCTGGTGCATCCACCAACAGTATTATTAATCAAAATAGTGCTGAATTGTACATTCCATCAATAGACACTTGGAGAACCACAGGCGACATGCAGTACCGTCGATCTTTTCACACAGCATCCACATTACTAAGTGGATTTGTATTAGTTGCTGGTGGATTCAACAAGGGTGCTTTGAAAAGTGCTGAATTGTACGATCCATCAACAGACACTTGGACAATGACAGGAAGCATGAGTGTCGCACGATATTGTCATACAGCATCTACATTAACAAATGGATTAGTATTAGTTACTGGTGGATACAACAGTGATATTCTCAATAGTGCTGAATTGTATAATCCAACAAGTGACACTTGGATAACCACAGGAAGTATGAATGCTGCACGGCAATATCACACAGCATCCACATTAGCAAATGGAAAAGTATTAGTTACTGGTGGAATTGGCAGCAGCACTGCTCTCAATAGTGCTGAGCTCTACTAATCGATATAGACAGAATGACATTTTCTTTTTTGAATTAAATCATACAAATTTTATATATAATCACAGTATTTAATCATTCACCAAATAATATATGAGTTGAAATAATATTTTGAAGTGATATCTTGAGAATGTGGGTGGGATGAGAGTGTGGGTGTACGTGTGAGTATTATTTCCATCTGACATTCACACTCACACCCTCAAGATTTAGCTCTATTCATTGATAAATGAATGTTTTAATCAGATTCTTAGCAATAAGATAGATTATCTCAAGTGCCATTGCCGGTAGATCAGCGGACACAAGTTTATTCTTGTAAAACACAAAACTAGCTAAAACATAATCTATTAAAATCCACTCAGCATTTATGTAATTAAACTTATGATTACCTTGCAACTATTCGATTTATATCAATAATGATTAATTTCGCAGGTGAGTTTTCAAAAACAAACTATTTTACGATATTAGTGTTACAACAAGAATTGGGCAACATAATACTTTATCACAATCTGCAAATCGAGGTAAATTGAACAATTGTTATGAAATTCATTTTTATAGATAAGAAAAGTGACGAATAATTAATGTATTGCTTGATTTAGTATAGTTTCATGGTATTTACTGTTCTGTCATTCAACATCCATCACATTGAAAGCTCTTAGCAAAATAACCTGTATTTTTCTTAATATGTTATTTGAGGGTGTATGTACATTAGTACTTCGATAAACACATGATCTGCAGTCAAGTCTAAAAAAGAGCTCTACTAAGGCACATACATTGTTCGAAAACCTTGCAAATACTTTATTGTTCTTTTTTGTCCTAATCGATTCTCTAGAAAATTTCAGTTTATTGATACCACATTCTTTGTAAGCAGCCGATGAGTTAAGAAATGTTTTTAAGAAAAATCCTTTTATCTTCGAAACAAGATATTTTATTGCGCGTAGCCCTTACAGTAAGTCATCTAGACTACGTATCATTTAAAACAAATCTTTTTCCATATGCTGTTGTATATTTTTGTTCGTGATAATGATTTCGACTAAAAACATTTATTGGTTAGAATACTGAGTGCTTATTAATAAAAAAAAAATAAGAGAAATAGCTGTATAGTGTCAAGAAAGATTTCGTTTTAGAGTCAATGGATAAATGTACTGGCCAAACAGATGAGACCAGTGACGAGCAGCATTATTGTCGAGAAGGAGTAGTGAGACGAGGCAGTATTGCAAAGATCATGATAACAACAACAACGTGTCACTTTTGCTATATTTCCTGGAGCGGTAGTTTCCGTGCAAGTGTCCTTACCACCAGAGCACGTATTGTCATCAGGAAAAGCACCGCCGGCACCACGAACGGTGCCTTCTAGTAGGCCAGCAACATTTCCAGTATATTTCTACAGTTTATAAAAATGAGAAGAAACTAGTGAATGAAAGAAGAGTCGATATCAGCTTTTACCCAACAATAGTTGTCATTAGTGCCTTTTATGTCGGCGTCAGGTTTGTCGTAGGGTTCTTTACAATTCGTGCACTGATAACACTGACGAGCATCCGTAACACACACACCTAATAAAAAAATTGAACCAACGCTCGTAATGTAACAATCACCGTTGTAACTTACTAATAGCGAGTAGACTAATACCAACAATCAATATAGTTTTAATGCTGACCATTTTTGTTTCTTTATTGTATAAGAAATGAAACGAACAGAGATTTATGTCAATAATTTATAGAGGACTGATAAATCTCTTTCTCCTTTTGCGAACCTAAATTTAATTATGCTTTACCATTCGTCCTTATCCGAGAAGCACTCAAAATTATAATACTGAATACATTTGTTACACTCAAGTTTGCCAGTATACTCAGGCAATCGATCGTAAACAGTAATGCACAAGTAGTCATAAACATCGATCTGTCGATAAGAGTATACGTATATTATACACAACTTTACATTTCAGCAATATCATATGAAAAATCTTTTCGATTACAATTTGCAATAAAAAGTCTTTTAACTACAAGATACTCTTGTATAAAAAAGGAAAGATAATTTGTTAAATTTTTTCTATATTTTGGACGGAACAGGAGCATACAAAATGATACTGTCCTTACCATTTACAAAGATCACTTAGGTGAATTTTTCAATATGCTTCGTTTTAAAGTGTGTGGGTGTGAGGATGTTGGTGGGAGTCTGATACTTTTTACCCTAGCTTTTGATTTGATTCTTGCTACTAGTTTGCGTTCTATAATTCTATTTTATTTTCTACCCTCTTTCTATCTATAGGAAGATATTTGGTGTTAAGTGATTGATTTGTACACGATTGTTATGGATGTTGTTTGCCCATCTCTTTCTCTTCATTATCGATTTGATCTTGGTCATAGCGTCGTTTCTTTTGACGCGAAAAACGATAACTTATCTATCCCATGTAGATCAGTTTTGCTTCTCAGTTCCTCTCAACGTCGTTGGCTATTTAAAAGTATATTGTCTTCAATACCATCTTGAATCTGTGTTATGGGCGTGGGTGTGGATGCATGATGAACACAATATCTATACTCACCCACAACCGGTGGCTTTTTAATCATGTTTGAACAATTTTATATATTTGGCACCGTTGATAGATTTACTAAAATTTACATGTATTGTGATTATCTCATTATAAGTATTATATTCATCATACATTATGGTAGTTTTCTTTGAATTCCGCCTTTCCTATTTACTTGTTCAGAATGTCATTAAGGACTAAAGTAGAAAATATTGAAAACGAGAGAAAAATCTTAAAAAATATTCTCAACTCAATCAAGGAAAAAGATTGCTAATTTTATTTCCTTAAAACTGAGTTGTGTCTCATCAGCTACCACTTATGGAATGAAGTATGTAAATTAAAAAAAAGATTTTGATAAATAATGTTCTATTTGTTGGATTAACACATAACTAGTCGACATTACCATCACAAGCAATCCTCTTAATAATTAATAAGATTGAATTATATCTAGAGATACAACATTTTTATCTAAAAATATTTCGTATAAAGAAATGATGACGTTCTAGGAGCTTTTGAATGACCTTGTGTGAATATTTCATCGCTGACATCGATTTTGTTTTGAACTCAGCTTATAGAATGATGCATTTCAATGGCGTTTAAATTCAAATAAATGTTTTATTGATTTATGTTAATTCGGCAATGATAATAGATGAATAACAGTTACGAAGAATAGTATAACTAATATTTTCTTTTTATATCCTTTCATTTTTCATTTCATATTGCATCACTTTACTTTAATTAACTAAGGTATTTCAACATATAAACACTGACGTACATGTTATCATATTTTGACATATGTCATTTTTAATCGTTCTAATTACCTGAGTAGGCGTTTGAGATATATAAAAAAATATACAAATAAGTTTCTTTTTCTAATTTTATATTCTATTTTCTGCAAACTATCTCAATGTCGACGGTATCATTATTTTATTCTATTGCACATAATCTATTTCAGTTTGGAGGTCCAATACTAGCAAGTGTTGGTACTATTAGTTGCATATTGAATTTAATGGTATTTACAAAAAGTAGTTTACGAAAAAATCCATGTGCAATATGCTTGATAGCAGTTAATATTAGCAATTTCATGTTTATATATTTTGGTCTACTTTTTACAATACTTGCAACTGGTTACAATATTGATCCTAGTTCATACAACATATTTTGTTGTCGATTTCGATTCTATATAGCTACGGTTCTTCCATGCTATGAATCGTCTTGTCTTATTTTAGCATCTATTGATCGCACATTACTTACGTCATCAAATGCAACAACACGCCAACGCAGTACATGTCGTGCAACTATTATAAGTATAATTAGTATATGTTTCTTTTGGACAGTTTTTCATGTTCATGCATGGATTTACACACAAATTCTAGAATATGAACCTAATTACTTTGTTTGTTTTAACCAACCAGGTGCATATACTGTATTCATAACCTACTATTCACTTACAATCAATGGAATTCTTCCACCTACACTCATGGTAATATTTGGATGTTGGACAGTGAAAAATATTCGTCAAGCACGTCGTATAGGACAGCGTTTAATAGCAGTACATACTGGCATTGTTGCAGTTGGTAGACCACATATACTACAATCTAAAGATCAACAACTTATTCGAATGTTACTTGTAGACACAATTACCTATGTTATATGTAAATCTCCACTAATAATCCTATATATCTATGAACAAATTACGCAGTATACAGAAAAGAGTGCAGAACAGCAAGCTATTGAACAGGCGATTTTACAAATAACATACTTTTTATTTTTTACTGAGAGTTGCATTGGTTGTTATACAAATATCTTGGTATCGAAAACGTTTCGCAAAGAACTAAAGCGTATTCTAACGAACACTCGGTTATAACATTTTCGACAAAAACATTAACTATAAAAATCTTCTTTTTATTAGAATATATAAATGTTGTTATATTCGCTTCTAGAGTCTTTAATTATTATCTGAAAATAAAGTAATAATAATACATCAGAAATTCATTCAAGATAAATTCTGTTAGTAAATAGTGACGATAGTTAACTGTCAGAAAAGTATGTATTAACACTATATCAACGAAAACATTCTATCGCATAATAACTTGACAATTGAGATTATTTGTTATATATAAATTGCCAGTATTAGAGATGAAAACTTCGAAAATATTTGACATTGATTAAAAAACAAACGACATTATCAGTCAACAATTGATTAACAAGACATCCATTCAAACTTATAACGCATAAAATAGTCTCATTGTATATCGTCTTTTCTATTGTTACATCGATTAATTTAATCGTTAAATAATTTATTTTTGTTTAATTCTTAATTCGGTTTCTTTAGTAAATGCATATGCATGAAATGGAATGGGTTACGAAGTAGTTAATTTATATGAATAAAATACCAGAAAATATTCATAATAAATTCAACAAAAAAAAATAGAAGATCTTATTATTATAATGGTTTGTTTTTATTGTGATTATCAAATCTTAATTTCAAGATAAAACCTTTTTTTCTTAAAATTGAAGTTAGAATATAATAGAATTCATACAATTTATGTTTACTTGAAATTTCTTCATTGAAATCTACATGAATATTTACTGTTATACTTTCGATAAGAAAATCAATATTTATTTTTTTAATAATAATGATATTGAACGTACCAAGGTAGATGAACTGTTAGTTAATTGAAAAAAGCTGATATCTAATTTCCTTTTAACATATATTCTATTAATCATATAATAATTAAAAATATTTTTTAATCAAGGGTGTGGGTGTGGGTATGCGTGCATGACACACTGATGTTCAATTCACCTTTATTCATACTCTTCCCTCTCACACTCTTCAAATCACAATATATTTCTATTGAAGTATCATTTTTCTTGTACTTTAAAAGAACGATTTGTCGACGTATGAAATGCGCAAATTTATAGAAAGTTAGACTGAATCAAAGAAAATACTGAGAGATCCGTGTGCTTTGTCATATCCGATAATTATGGAGACATGTTTCTTTATGCTTGCATTCACAACTGAGAGCAAATCCTTTTAATGCATTTAAATCATCTCTCACATGATTATACTTTTTTGTCGGTATAATTGAAAGATAATTTCAAAGTATATAGCGTGAAGTGTTCTTTGATAATCATCTAAGTATTATGAATGCACTTTATCATCATAAAAACACGTTTTTTTCTGCGTAGAAATACATTAATATAAAAAGAAACGGATGGTATTTCCATTTTCTTTCTTTATATCTACATCTAGAATATTCTAGTGCTTTTTTCTTGTTGGTTATAGCACGAAGTAATAAAAGAAAAAAGTATTTTAGTGGAGCTGAATGTTTTGAGAGGTTTACTAATAGACAGAAGATTTCTTAGTTTTGAATTTATTCAAAAAAGATATATATAAATTCTTTTGAATAAAATGTCTTCATCAAATGTTACTACTTCATCTGCTATTCAAAATGAAATTGATACAATTAATTCGTTTATTATTTCATATGCACGTTATGTGTATCCTATTATCTTTTTATTTGGTATTATTTGTAATATTTTAAACATTTATGTTTTTACACAATCAACTTTAAAACGAAATCCATGTTGTATGTATTTCTTGGCATCATCTTTCGCTGCACTTATATATACTGCTGTGAATCTACCACTTCGAACTCTTCAAATGGGATATAATATTGATCCAACTGTTACTGTGCTTGTAGTTTGTAAATTAAAAAACTTTTTTGTATATACATGGAGGTAAATTTTAGAATGAAAATCTATATAATTTCTTTCATTTATTTACATATAATTAGAGCATTAGCAGTATGGTTTTTGACTCTTGCTTGTATTGACCGGTAAAGCAATTTATTTTAATAAAAAGTTTATTTATTTGTTTTATTTTAATAATACTGGTAGATTTTTACATAGTTCATCAAATGTCAATTTTCGAGGATGGAGTAGCTATAAAGTGGCTTCTCGTGTAATTCCTTTAACATTTCTTTTAGCTCATCTTGCATATTTACATGTGGCAGTTTTTTATGAAATTCTTTTACCTCGGCGAACTTGTTCAATTCAAAATAGCTCTTATACAATGTTTCTTGGTATATGGCATCTACTTACATATGGCACAGGACCCCCTTTGCTGATGCTGTTTTTCTCTTTACTTACTATTCAACATATTCGCCATCGACAAATAGTGCCTGTAAATTCACAATTAAATGAAGCAATTAGAAATTCAAATAAAGATAGAAGTTTGGTTCGTATGGCTTTATTTCAATGCTTAATAGTTGGATTAACAACAACTGCGTACGCTGCTTTTCAATGGTATTCTACATTAACAGCAAATCAAGTTAAAACTAATCTTCAATTAACAAAAGATAATTTAGCAGCTAATATTGTTGGATCCATTTCGGCAGCGGGTCATAGTACAACGTTTTTTATTTTTACTTTAACAAGTCGAATGTTTAGAAAACAATTATTATGTCATCATCGTTAAGAAATATTCTAATCAAAGACATAATATCAAATACCATTCACATGTTTTTCACATCCACTTGTACCTTTTTTTTGAAAAAGACAGTCTGCGGACACATAAAAACTGAGGATTCTCACAGTTACACTCAATATAGATTTCAATTAGGGCATACATAAACAGCAGTACGGATATTTAAAAAATCAAGCTCAACTCTGGCATCTTTCGTTTTAAAATATTTTTCTGTTTTCTTTTCTCTTTTACTATTTCAAAAATTTTTTTTGTTTGTGTGTATCAACTAGTGTTCTTGTCAATTGTTAACCTTTTATGGAACAATAAACTGAATGTTAAAAACAAAATCCGCCTAAATTGCTATGCTAGTCCGATACGAAATAATCGAATCAGATTAGACTATAACTTCAGAATTCAAACTGATCGAACATGAAACTCAAAGCTTTTATCATTTACAAAATCTTGAGAGTGTGGGTGTATAGCTGAATAGATACAACACCGACCCACACCTACTTTGCTTATTGAAAAAAAGATTCGAACAATTATTTGCGAGGCTCTTCTCTCCGAATAACTTCGTAACTAGTGCAATTCGTCCTTAGAAACAGTGTTATTTTTCATTTGTTTACGAGAATTCATCTCGGATATTTTCTTGTTCGAAGCATTAAAAACAAACAAACCATTTATTCTGTTCTCTGTTTTTTCTTTTCTGCAGCTTTTTCTCTTCTAAGGCTGCATCGTATTCTTTTTTCTATGGTGAGTGTGGGTAGAGGTGACAATCAGAATAACAAATCAATTTTTGACACCTACAAACACACCCTTAATTGATAATGTCTGTCACTTCTGTAGATTGGGAAAGAGGGTGAATCCAAAACTTCTATCCCTAACACTTCAACATACATTTTACATTCGTGTTTCACGAAAAAGAATACTGAACAGCCTCTTAGAAGTGATAAAGTTGCAAAACAGAAAAAATAGAAAGCATAGTAAATTTTTTATGTGTTTGTTTTTAATGCCTCGAGCAAGAAAAAAAACCATCGATGAATTTTCGTACACAAATGAAAAGCAACACCGTTTCCAAGGACGAATTGCATATCATGGTTTGCATCAATGACGAAGTCATTGAGAGAAAAGAGTTGCACAAATAATTGTTCGAATCTTTTTTCTCAATAAGTAGAGTGAGTATATGAATGTGCTCGAAGAAAAAAGACGTTTTTATATAAAAATAAAATCGATCATGTTCATTAACATTTCGTTTTAACATGAAATAATAACGAAGATCTATTTATATTTTAACAACTTTACTTTTCTTTTAACTAGCAGTAAGAATAATCATTCATAAGTAAACTTATTTTATATATGCATATAATTAAGTATTAAAAATTAGTTTATAAATAATTTATTTTAGATAAAATGATCATTCAAAAAAAAGTGAATTATTCTTAGTAAGTATATTGACATACTTTAACTTTTGATCGTCAAGAGTAAAGATAGTCGAAGAACAATCTGATTTTATTACCTTAGATAAGGTGAGTGTCGTACTTTAATTCCTATTCTTTTTCGAAAGAGAATCAAATCTATAAAAGTTTAGAAATTTATCCTTGAATAATAATAATCATGCATGTTACCTGTTCAAAACTTTGTTATGTTAATTATGAGATATTTATAATAATTCCGATTTGATTAATCAATCGTTTTTTTGTCCTAGACATTTACAAATGTTTTATTCTCTTACGCGTATTTAATAGGTAAACAACTATACTATGTCATTCAAGGTTAATATAACGTATTAAATAAATATTCTTTTCATTGGTATATACAAATATATATTCATAGTTTTTATTAGAATAATTTTTATATGATGAGATTCATTCTACAGACAATACTTTATCAAAATTCTTCATTAGGTAGAAATCAAATATGATGATTCATCAATCTGTACGGTTTTATCTAGTGAGATAGTTGACTTCTTTTCAGTCTTCTATTGTCTTATCCCAATACTTATTCATATACAGAGTTTTGCATAACCTTCTACTAGAGGGAAAGAAATGGAAATCGAAACGTTAATTCTAAACGGCGATGGTGAAACGAAAGAAACTATTGAAAAAAGAAAACACGAGTAAATTATAACTTTTTTTTTGTAAGAAAATAATTTATTTAAATACTTAATAGAAATAAATTTCAATGGAATATACTTCATACAAGTGTTGGTATATTAATAATGATAGTCATTTCAACGTTAATTGGAATAAATTTATTGTCATCAAGGAAACATATTCAAAAAGAAATTAGACAAGGTTTTATTTTAATATTTTCATTTCGAATTTATTTTAATTTATTTAGATCATAGAGAAATTATTCTAAAAGCTATTTTTAGTACAGATTTTATTCCTGATGATGATCAAAAATCTTTTCAAATAGAAAATCTTGATGAAATAACAAATGAAGTATTATCAAAAAAATATCTTTGAATAATTATTATTCTATTCTAGTTAAATGAAATGTTAAATAAAACAAAAATTGTTGTTATTCAAGGTATATTTCATAATTATTTTACACTAAAAAAATCTCTCGAGTAAATATTAATGTGAATTTTTTTTAATTAAAATAACTTTAATTTAAGACTGAAATGTTTAAATCATTTATATGGAAAAATTCTTCAATTAAATATTCTGATCTCATCATCATCTTCTGATCAATGGAATATAGATGAATTAAAAAATGAATTTCATCGAATGTTAATATTTCCTTTAATAATTCAATTTTCGAATAAACAATATCAAACAATACCTATGAAAATATGTTCTTTAACCGAAATATCTGGTAAAATTTAATTTGATTAAAATATTTTAAATTATATTTTTTTCTATTAGAAGATAATTCAATTTCAATTCGATTAAAAAAAGATTCTTTTCAATCAACAATAAGAACGAAAAGAAAAAAATTTTCTTTAGATAAAATATTAAAACGATCTGTTTGCTTAATGAATCCAGGAAAAATATCTCTTGTTTTAATGGCTGGAGAAAAAGGTACAGAAATTCGAGATTATAAAAATAATCAAATTAATTTATTAAATCAAAATCATTTATCTGTTACTATTTATGAACATACAGTTTATTTAATACGTATTGAATTAGATTGCTCTTGGCAATTAAATTCAGATCTGTTTGAAAAAGGTTGTAATCTTGCGCAAGATGTTAATGTTTATATTGATATTAATAATGATGGAATTTTTCAATCAAATGAAAGTGGTATACCTTTTCATTGGCCAATTACGAGTTATATGGCACAAGGTATTTATGATTTACAATTATATATTCCTTTTATTAATAATAAACATTTAACAAATGGTAAACATCGAATGATGATTAATGTTATGCCAACAGATAATTATCAAGAAATTTGCCAAGATAAACAATATAATGAAAGTAGATTTTACGATATTAATATTATTTCAAGAACAACAGAGATAAGTAAGATTTTCATTTTATCAAATTATCAACAAAGATCAACTAACGAAATAATTTTTTTCATTAAAACAATAATTATCGAAAAAAAGCTTGATATCTTTTGATAAAGAATTTTCCAATGGATCGTTTCAGCGATGTTTATATTGTGAGAGCTTTCGTTTAGCTCGACTATCTCTTTAACTTGTGACCAGTGGCGGATCTTGGAAGGGAGGGGCGATTTCGGCTCAAAACTATTTTTGAGTCCAATCGAACTAGTGTGAACCAATTTTTTGTTCATTTTTGCTGTAAAAAGTCAAAAAATATTTCTGAAGAAGGGGACGACCACCCCCATCACCCACCCCTAAATCCGCCACTGCTTCTGACAATAGAAACGCTTCTATTGTAAATAATGATATGAGTATTACAGTT